ATAAAAATAAAAAAGTTATGATTTTCTATGATGAACGTTATGATTGTTTATGATGTGTATTATGATATTTTGTAGTAAAATTATAAATAACGAATTTATGATGTGCACCTTAAAGCTCGGGATGATAATGTTATGATAATTTGTGATTTTTGTTATGACACCTTAGGGTTTTGTTCTGATATTTTTCATTGAAACAAAAAAAGTAAGTTGTAGTGCAAAAGTTATGATATTTTGTGTTTAAGTTATGAAATTTTGTGAAAAAATTATGAAAAACATACTATATATACTTTTTGAGGGTGTATATTATAATATCTCTCTTAAAATAAATTACAATTTCTAAAATGTTACTACCATATATTCTTATAAAAAATTTTATATGAAATTTTTATTTATAAATCATTTTATATATATATACTATTATATATGTGAACAATTCACTTTAGTTTCTTGAAACCTATTACTTCCTTTTGCCAAGTGAATTTTTTTATATCAAAAAAAGAAAAAAAAAATTATAAAGTAAAGTGTACAAAATTTGAACCTAAAGTCTTGGATTTGAAAAACATCCTTCTCACTTGATCAACAAATACTATATCAGTTCCAAAAAAAAAAAAAACACTATATATATTTCTAATTCAAAATCAAAATTTATATTTTACATATCTAATAACATATCCATTAAGTAGGCTTATGCCAATAATATATATTAAACTAAATGGCATGAGGGCAAAGGGAAGATCATCTAGTTCTTGACCTAATTTAAAAAATACATATACATGAAATTTAAAATAGATTATTATATATGTTAACTAATTCAAAAAAAAAATTCAAATAATTTAAAAAATTGGGGACTACTCTATATAATTTTGAAATTATTTATAAAAAATTTAAGAATACGAACTCTTATAATTTTTAATTATTTTAAATTTTTAATATAATATATAATATTTTTAAAATTTTTGAGGTGCGGCCGCCCCTAACCCCCTAATCCATCATTGTTGAAAACTACTATAAAAAAAATTGTGGAACTGTAATATGACTCATATATATATATATATATATGTGTGTGTGTGCATGAATTACGAGATGGGGAAGGTGAAGAAAGTGATGTGTTTTGTGGAGAAGGAGACTTGTTACGTATATCGAGGTCAATCAAAGTCAAGTAAATGCCAAAATAGTAAATATATTCCTCTCTCTTTCTCTCCTCTTACAAAAAAAACCACGCGTTTCCAGCATTCATTGGTTTTGAAAAGTAAGCGCAGTCCTGCGTTTGTTGTTTTGTACACGGAAAAAGTTGAAAAAAACTTGCTGTCCTTTTTTATTTAACAGTAAGGTCGAATTTTCATGATTGAAATAGTTTGATTTAGTTACAAATTTTTTGAGTTGTTTGTCCACCTCTAACCAGGAGAGTGGCTGGCTCACCGGAATAGAAATAATATAATTACACCAATTTTACATCCAAACATACATTTATAGATATAATGAATAAGGATAAACATTGAAAAATTACTAAAAGTCAGCGGTGACTAGTGACCGGTGATAATGAGATGAATAGATAAGTAATATTAAACAAATAAGTAAATAAATAACTGATACTTAAATCGATAGTTAAATATTTGAATAGATAGATTATACGTATGTAGATATATGACATTTGAACAGATAGATAAATAGGTAAATTTTGAACATATAGATGTCGTTTTGGATAAGTAATATCATTTTGATCCCAAAAAATTTAAGTTTATTGGTTCAAAAGTTTCAAAAATAGACGTTTCACCTGAGTGTCCTATTTATTAATATATATCTCGTTACCTTTGTGTCCAGCAATAAAAAGAATTTAAAAAATTGTTTAGGTATAAAATCACTCAAATCTAAAACAGGACAGGAGCACAACCATCCCAGACCAAAAAAAAAGCAAAAACAAAAAATGCCCAGAATTTTATTTCAATGGTTAAGGCTTACTTGAAGGATGGATCCCACACCAAAAATCTAAAATATGGACCATATATCTCAAATAAAAATTGTTGAGTTAATAATATAATAAGTTTTAGTCAAGCAAATTAAACTAGCATTTATTGTTTCATTTTCAAATCTGAACAATACAAAAGGGGACTAAAAAGCCTTCAAACACAACCAAACTTCCTCTAATATAATACACACTGCAAACGTGTTATTATTTATTAAACAAAACACTAAACTAATTAATAAATTATTATAAGTTGCTTTACCCACTGATTATACGTAGTCTATTTATTAAGTGAAACACTAAACTAATTTGACTATATTATAATATATGTTGCTTAACCCACACATTACAACATGCAAACTCTATCACACTACACTAGAATTTTTTGAAACCTCGTTTTTTTTTTTTTTCATGTTGGTAATTTGAATATTCAAATTTGGCTTTAAGCTATAGAAAAATAAATCAAACCAAGCCTTAAGTCCCATCAAATGGAGTCGGCTGCATGAAGCCTTCTTCTTCACTCGATTCTGTCCAAGACCATTTCGTTAGTTAAATTAAAGATATTCATATCTCTATTTACTATATATAGCATATACAAAAATGTCATACATAATTCTTTTTTTTTCAATTTTTTTTACTACTACTACACAAATAATAGGTCTTAACATTATTTATTAATGTGGGTTTTACTGTATTTATTAGTGATTAAAATTAATAAAAAATTATTTTATATATAATATTACACCTAAACGTAATAGTCAAAAGGCAGAATCAGAATTACAGCTGGAAGTGGAAATGTCGCCCAATAAGACAGGAAAGGAATATTTAATAATGGGTGAGAAAGTCATTGTCTTGTTTTAAATTTCTCAGAAATCTTTATACACATCCATTCAAATTGGGCTCATATATTGAAAAAATTACACATAAGTGCACATGATAAAAAAATAATTTTTAATGGGGGAATTTTTTTTTATGATACTTGTTATTAATATTTATAAGATAAGATAAAACTTTTTAATATTTCTACAGAGAAAATTTGATTCTGAAAAATTTTAAAAAAATTGAAATTTCTTTAAGTAAGGTGAAATTTCTCAAATTTTCAAAGAGAAATTTAAAAATTTCTCTGCGATCATATTATAGAAATTTAAAAATTTCTCTGAGTCGGGTGAAATTTTTCTAAATTAAATTTTCTCTGTAAAAATGTTAAGGGACTTTAGCCCATAAAAAAACATCTTGGACCTCTCCTACTACACAAAGTTAGAGAGTGATATTTCACTAATTTTCTCTTTAAAATGTATGGGGGTGTTAGAAAAAAAAGGGCAAAAAAAAAAACATAGCAGAAGTTACGTCTCAAGAAATTCTTCACCCTTGGGTAAATAATTATCCTAGTTCTCAATGGTAATTTTCCCTTTATAGATTGCATTCACATAGAATAATATCTTCCGCACCATTCTCTATTTTGAAATTTGGAACATTATAAATCAGTGTATATAATCAAAAAAAATTATCAATCTATAGTTGTATAAATCTTTTTCTGCGTACACAAAAAAGTTGAACCTCAAAATATTATCACACTTCTGTAATAATGTGACCCGCTCCTTACTGATATGTAATTTTCTTTTAGAATTTTCGATTCTTTCATTTCATTGTATTTCTTTTAAGTCATGAGATCATATTTGGTAATTCTTATTTGATGGGTTTAATTTACGACTAAAAATAAAATGGAACCCAAAAAAAATAAAATCATAGAAATTGAAAGACAGAAATAATCACAATGTGAGACGGTCAGAAACTCTTCTAAAACTTCGTTTAGACTGACTTTTTTAACCTTGTTTGGTTTTTGTTTTTGGATTTTTTTGACTTTTATGAAATAGAAAGTGTAATGATTACGGTTTAAATGTAATATTTTATCTTATTAACTTATATAATCTATTTTGTTTTTTATGCTTTTTCTTAATCCTAAAATATTTACCAAATGAGGACTTATTAATGTGGCTTAGAATATTAATACGACAAAACCCATACAGTAGTTGGCTAGGTTGATCAGCTTTATTCAGTGGGACAATGTTCTCACCAAAACTGTCCCATGGACCTAGTCTTCTCTTCTCTCTCTCTCTCTCTCTCTCTCTCTAGTTGAGAAATTAGTTGGAAGGTGCATGGAAATAGAGACAAACAAGTGAGGTTGACTGGTGTAGAAGATATGATAGCCATTCTATCCATAGAGATTCTCAATTTGTTTTCAACAATGAGAACTGGTCAACATGTATAGAATGATATATTTGTATCTTCAAAGTTTTGCTGCTAGCTTTGAAGTTATTGACATTTCAGCTCATCAAATGGGAAACAATAGAGATTCTTTTTTCAGTGAGTGGATATCATAGAGCAAAACTTTAGTAATTTGCATGTAATTCTCACAATCTTTTGACCTTGGCATTTTTATCAACCATACCCCCAAAAAAATAATAGTAATTAAATAGAATTTTGATAACGAAAATGTGACGAAAATAAGGGCATTTTTATCAAACCATTTATGACATTAAATAAGTTAAGAACTAAATTGACACAATTGAGAACATCAAGGATTAAAATGTAACAAATCACATTCTTTGTAGACTTTTTTTTCTCATTTTGTTAATTTTTAAATGTGGTTTAACAAAAATTCCCCTACTTCTGTTATCAGTTGCAGAGAGAAATGGAGGTATGAGACTATTTAGTAACAAAATTAATAAATCGGAGACTGAATTGACACATTTGAAACATCAGGACTAAAATTTAACCGCCACATCATTTTGAATCCACTTTTTATCTCATTTTTATGTAAGAATATACTTCTCCATTTTCTTAAGAATATACATTATGCAGTTGAGAAATTCATTTGAAGTACTATTTTTCCATCCAAAAAAGAATTTTGTTGGATTCGAAATAGGAAATAATAAAATATATTGTTCTGCCAAGTTTCAAAACTCAGAAATCAAAATTTTAAAAATAAATAAATTCAAACATAGCACAAGAGTATTTAATGTGTTTAGATTAACACTAACACAAGCAATTAAGGTATATTAAACAGCTTTACGATGATTTTTGTTACAGTAAAATGCAAAAATATACAGCAGTATACAAATAATGATTAATTCCAAGCTCAACCAGTCAGTGTCAAGGCATTGAGACAAGGATCTGCAAGACCTCATGCAGTGATAATGTCCTGGGGCCGCTTGGAACCACCACGGGGCAATCGTCTCCATGCATGAAATTTGAAATATTCACATATTATATTCATCAAATGCCCGAAAATTGGGTATGATACATTGGGAGGCATATGGTTTTTGTTCAGTTTGATTTATGAATGAGATACAATGCATCCTACAAACCATGTGGTTTCAAGACCCCATATCAGTGCGAATTGTTGGGGAAAAAAAAGAGTTGAAAACCCAAAAGTCAGATCTTTTTGGAGCATCGGTGTCATTCCTCACTTCACATGATGTGTAATTTCTATAAATACATTCGAGGTCCTCTCTTGACACCCTCTTGGCACGTGGGACGTTGATCAAAATCAGTATTCTCCTTTTCAAGAAGACTCCTTTAATTTGAGTTCAAATTTGATATGAAGCCTTTGGCATGTTGGCTCTCCATTTCAAGAGTCATCAATGATTTCTGCCTATGATATCTGTTTCTCTTTGCAGAAAGCGCTGAAAGCAGAAACATAAACAATATATTAAGTTAAATGTCATTGTGTCAAAACAAAATTGGAAAACTAAAATTAAGGAAAACTTTTAAAAGAAACAGAGTATGAATTGCAAATTCAATCAAATGCTTTTAATTTCAATTGTTATGAATCTCAAAGCAATCCAATAGATTGATTGAGTCCTAAATCTGTAATATTTTGATTATACAAAGAATTAATGATTTCATGTTTCAGATTTTCTTAATGTTGATTAATCTAACTCGGCCCACATAACCTTCATGGAAAAAGTGCTACCTATCATTTCACCAGCGTGCCCTAAAACTATTGACAAATGTCATTAACATTCCAGACATTCAGGAAATGACAATTTCTATCCTAACAAAGAACTAAAATGCAGCAGATGGTTCCATAATCACAAGATAAGAAAAACATGCTAGCTTCAAACAGATAAAGAAACTAAAATAAAATCAGAAAATGGTAAACATGTAAATTTTTAAAATGCACTTACCCATCAATTCTTGAGGTAGAGCAAAGTCATAATCGTGATGCCCCCTCCTGATACAGCACATGTATATCACTAACAAAAGAATGCAAAACATAACCACAGCTGATATGCCTATTGCAATTTTGCCACCGGTAGACAAGCTGTACCTTCGCCAGAATAGTGGACATTCTGGCAAAGAAGGTACACCACACAAGCCTTTATTGCCAGAGAGACTGAAAGAAATATTGAACTCATCAGATGAGTATAAAAGAACAAAGAAAAGTGATACAGAAGATATCGTAGCCAACCACTTGAAAAAAAAACAAGACGTTATTAAGCAAGTAATTAAATTTGAATAGCCATGGACACTGATGTACAAAAGAAAGTGATCTGGCAGTTCATGATTTAAAAGTACATGGTTTTAGACTCCTAGAATTTGCAAAAATTGAAGTTTTCAATGTTCATTAATATTTTGGTGATTCTACAAACTAGGATTGTTGTTATATTTTAAGGAAGTTCAAAATAAGCAGTCCGTTAAATATCTAGCGTAATGTGCTTTTCACCACTAGCACTGGCATTCTAATCATCCTTTTATGCTAGCAATTATAAGCGCATTACTCTGCCATATGACATTTCACAGCCAACATTTTACATGATAATCCCACTTCTCTCAAGGCTCAATTTCTTTATATTAGTAGCAAACAGCAGGGAAGACAAAATTGGAACCAAACAAGAAACAAGCCAAATCCACTGCAAAGGTATGGATTCACTATCAAAACTGACCGCATTTGCGGTCAAAGTTTCGAGGAAAACACTTCAACATCTCCGATATTGCATTTTGCATACTAATGAGCCATGCTTTACCACTGCTGAAATATGTGAATTAAAAGAGCTCTGAATCAAATGAAACACCACCACATAAATGATGGCCCTGAGAAGTATCAAGAGTGCATAAAGAAGAACGGAGAAGATAAGGAACGACAATATTTAAAATAAAAAATAAAAAAAGAGAAGAAGCAGAAAACAACTGCAGCAAAATTTAAGTTACAAGAACCCCTTGACTGCAACAAAATTTATTGACTGCAACAACTGCAGTCAATAAAACTTGTGTAAATATAACCCCTTAGTACTAAGTTACAAGAACTACATGTAGATTCCAAGATGCTATAAATTCATCAAAACTGTGGGTACGTATCTGAACCTCCTACATTGCATAGTCACGCTATCTCTATGATAATGCCTCCGAAGATTGTGGTGCCATGCGTCAACCTCATGAAGTGACACATTGACCAATGAGAAACCTCCATGTGACCCCCTCTACAGGCCGAACTATAATAGCTAAGACAGGTGTGCATGGTACCCTTGTTCTGAGACATTAAAACACGTCCTAAATTGATCAAGCATTCCTTGGCTTGGTGTCACATGTTGCCTTGCAACGTCAACTCCATGACATTTTGCTCGTGATGGTGTGACCATTTGAGTGCTCAAGAGTGGCCCTTGGAAGTGCCTAGGTGATGGAAATCGAGATTCCAAGTCCGCGGTTCGGTGCCTCAATGTGGCCCCAAGATTGGCCCCAAGCAGCCCAAGGCATACATGCCACCATGCAGCCAGCAGCATGCCCAAGAAGCAAGGCCGCAGCAATGCCGCAGCACAGGCCGCAGCCCATGCCAGCAGCCAGTCGCAGACAGGCCGTAGCTCAGGCCGCCTGCCAGTCTTGCCAGCCACAGCCCAGGCCGCAACTCAGGCCGCAGCCCAGCAGCAGTGGCCAATAGTGCAGGGTTTTGGCGCGTTGTTTGGGCATCTAAATGAACGAGTTTTTGGCTGAAATTTTTATTGGAAAGAGATCTTGGGGGAAGTGTTTTCCCGACCAAGTTTCGCGATTTTTCTCAATTTGTGGAATTTTTGAAAAATCATTAAGACTCCTCGTACATAGGGCATGTTTCCTCTTGCTAGTTTGTCAAAGGCTTAACAAGCATATATAAGGGGGCATGGTGTGCTACCTACTTGCCTCCCCTCCCAAACTAGGCTTGAAGTGAACAACCTTGAGGCAACTCAAGGGCGGGCTTTAGGCATCCAGAGGAGTGTCTAGAGTCTCCACGCAAGTTTGGGAGCCCTGTGGATGGTGCGAAAATATAAGCACTGCGCAAGGTTTAACACGTTTCCATTATGCCACGCATTATGGCAACTTGGGAACTTGTTTTAGGCCGAATGAGCTATCGAGGCACCACCAAAGGCCTCGTGTGCCAACTCAAATGCTTGGTTTGGGCTCAACCTTGCATGTGGGGATCCCGTGGCTTAAGCTAAGCGGTTGGAAAGCAATACCACATATGTGGGCTATTGAATAAAAGCATCAAACTATGCATTGACTAAATCCATTGAGAGATGGCATTATACTACAAGCAAGCTACGGATTGAAACATTACCTTACTCGAGCAACACGTTGGTGCAACGCTAAGGTGCGCAATGGCCTTAGGCAGAATCTAACACCCGTGTTGGCACGAGGAATACGCTGTGGGCAAGAGATTGACCCTTAGTGTCTTGTGGGCTTTACATGACCATGTGGCCATCCAATATGCATCAATTAAGGCATGCTTGACCCTATGACACTTTGCGATGTTGTCAAAGACCCAACATGCGCTATGTTGGCTTGTCGGCTAAGTCGAGGGCCTTCGATAGCACGTTGTTGTGTGGCTAGGCACCTTGATGACAAGAACCTAAGTTGGGCGAGCACCTTGCTTGAGATAAGCTTGGCGTTATGAAGCGACTTATGCCGTGCTTGGTGCACTTGAGGCGTCAAGTCTACTTGTGGCATCTGGGTGAAGACGAAACTTCCTTGTGGAGTTGTTTTGCTTAACAAAGCATTGGGCCCTAATGTTCAAAACGAGTGAGATCGTTAACACTCGATTTGTCAATGAGCTATGGCGGGCTTAAACTTGGTGGAGTTTGAGCACCACACGGAAAAAAAAATTGATCCGTTGTGCCTTTAAAGGAGTCGGCCCGTGACACTTGGCCAAGGATTCTCCACCTGAGCAGTCTCCTCTGCTTTGACATCCTCAATGCTCTCTAATTCAGTCAAGCAGCTCCCTACTATTCCCACTCTCTAGCTGAGCATGCTCCCTATCATACCCGTTTGGTCCTCATCTTCAGATCAAACATTCCCTATAGAGCAGTGTCTCACCAAGTCTCCCTATAGCTGGATTCAAAACTTTGATATGACCACATCAGATAGGTTAGGAAAGGATATGAGCAAGACCACCAAAAAACTTGCGACTCAAGGGTCCACCAAGGCACCCCCCTCCGTTCAAGGAATCTGTAACAAACCTTCCGAGGCTTAACATGCCTACCTACTATATCGCGTTAATACAACCCTGAGGGGGTCTTATTGTTAACAAAATGAACAGTAGCAAAACCTCCAGATAGTTGGACAAGGGGGGTGGAGCCACCTACCCATGACCAAGCTGGCCCCCAATGATTTGATCCTCCTATAAATTGAGACCTCCATGCAATTGATCAACTCCTTCCAACAAGCTCAAGAGCCCACTCCACCTCTCTCTATCTAGGTGTAGGTACCTAGTTACCTACCACATGTCAAATACACAAATGGAATTATGTGTCTTGCACGTCGGTAATTAGACATACATGTCTTAGCTTTCAATCTACTATCTGCATGTTCATGCTGACATTGTTGGTGCCTAAGTTCTGAACTCCATCACAATGAAACTTGCCTACTTGACATCCCAAAGGATTCAAGATTTTAAGTCATCTCATGATTATGGTGTTCTTACCACGGGGTTTGAACCACGACACTCGTCTACCTAGGTCAAGCGGTAGGCTCTAGGTACGCTTCGGCATGACCCACAGGACTCTGGAGTCTTGTGGCTTGGTGGTTGAAGATGAAGTTTCACTGTGACACTGAGCTGCATTTGGCCAATCCGCTAAGCGAAAGATCATATCATTGGGACCATGTAAGGAATCTTACAAATCAAGGTAAATCGTAACAGAATGGTACACTTTGGCATATTTTTTCTAGCACATTCTAACAGAATTCCATAATATTCCCAGGCATATTCACGTGACCAAAACTCTACAAACAAAAAGTTCTACAACTTGTACATCAAACTAGGAATACTCATTTTCTTCTGGAGGCTTTGCTTTTTCTCAGAGATCCCAAGGCTCTTCACTGCCTCTCTCTCTCTTTATGGTCTACTTCATATCTTAACCCAGGTATCCCCTTTAGTCTCTGGTGCCATTGATGTGTTCTTCCACTTTCTGATGAACCTGATCTCCAGTCTATAATTCCAACACTAGGATTATCTTGACTCTCTCCTCGTCCACCTTGGGCGGAAAGGCCAACTCAACCATGAAGCCACCAAAGCCTTTGCTTTAGGCCCTCAATGTAATAAGGCCTCAAAATTTTGAAAGCTTAAGGCCGACGCTACTTATTTTCATAAAAGGCGGCCCAGTTTAGATGGAAAAAATCTACTACAAAATATACGCCCATTTTTTTGAAAGTCTACCTATTATAGTTAAGACCCTATATAGTTTCTTTTTTCTTTTTATTTTTTTATTTTTTGAAAAGGAAGCACCAATCCAAATTAAGAAAACACTCCAATTAACATAATAAATTATATAAAGCATAAGGTTTATGAAGCACATATAGAAGTAAAAGGGAGTCATATCCATATCTATAAGCTATTATGAAATTGAAATTGTAATAATTCTTGCATAGTATTAAAGTATAATTGCTAGAATAAACACAATAAAAGTTTTTCAACATTTTCTTATTTTTTACCGAAGAAAAAAAAATAGTGAGATTAAAGCAGTCCCGTATTATCGACACTGTAGTCATAATAAAAATAATAAAGGGGAAGAAGAAGAATAAGAGTAAACTGACTATTGTCTCTTCAATTAATATCTAATTCCTAAATAATGGTTTCTCACTATTCTTTGATCTCATGGATAATATAATCCTAAAAATTATAATTTTTTTTTAACTTATCCTATTTATACCTGTATTCTATTTTTTTATCCCGTATCCATAGAGTATAAGATTCTTTTTCAATGCATGCATTCCTCACAGAATATTATTGGCAATACATGTAGAAGTTTTTTTTCTACAAAAAGAAGTTTTCTATCATTAAAACTGATAAAATCTTACCTAAGATTGTCACAATAAATTTTAAGTGAATTAGCTATACTATAAAAAAGAAATTAAAAAAAAACTACAAATATTGAAAAATGTAAAAAGCAACATTTAAAGTAGTCGCTTTAGATCTCAAACTGTCAGCCAACTCTGTTTGGTGGTCCCCAGCCAGCTATAACTTACAAGCCTATCATCTTTCCAAATCACCTCCTGCCATCCCAAGACCCTCGTTCCACACTCAGTATAAGAAAACTAAATAGAAAATAAGTAAATCAAGCAATTACAGAACTACATACTCAATAGCTCCACCATGGACACCAATTGAATAAAGACCTTCTGGCACTTGTCCTTCCAGTGAGTTGTCATTCAGTATCCTGAAATATATGTTAATGTACGTCACTGAAAAGTATCGACATGGAAATCTCACAAAATTTAACACTCAAGTAAAATGATTAACAGCATATGTATCATTTAAGTTCAAGATCAATTGGATAAATGATTAACAGCATATGTATCATTTAAGTTCAAGATCAATTGGATAAATTCATCTTCTAATTTTCTGCTTTTAGCATTTTCTTTTTAGCAATTAGGTAGTTCAAAATTTGTTGGGAAAAAATAATTAACTTTATGTTAATCCATAGCAAATTACTGGAGATGATAAGTAATGGCATCTTTGATTAATTGTTTAAAAATTACTACTACACAAGCGGAATAAGCATAAAACTTACACAAGCTGCAAATTTGAAGAAACAAGACTATCTGGTATGGACCCAGTAAATCGATTGTTAGACAAATCCCTGTATCAAAAGATGTGAAAACAATAAGTAATGACAGCAGAAAAATGAGAAAACATGGACCTAGTAGTTGTGTCACCGCTTGGTATAATATTAGATAAATAGCATATTTAGAAGACCACGAAAAGATGAAAAAAAAGAGGTAGCTAGAATCAGAATGAAAAAGACAGCAAACATAACAAAGTATCTGATGGAAGGCTTGACATATATGCCACGGAAATAAATGAAAACAACAGAAAAGGCACCTTCTTTGTGGAGTGATTCAAATATACGGTGGACACTGAAGCTGATTTTTTTTTTTTTAAAAAAATGAGATGAGAAGTACAAGTAAATAAACATGATAGTTTTAAGCCAAGTAACTACAAGGAAAGTTGTGTACCTAAGGCACAGTAACACGTGTGAAAGAGAGAAGATTCTAAAGCATACATTTATCAATCAGCCAATGAAAGGTAATTCTCAAAATGCTGCTGGACAGCAGAAATGATACAGGGTAAGTTCTAAGATGACATAAGAAGACTTTGTATAGAGTAAGGAACAATGCTACCCCAGTGTACTGATGGTTTGTAACCTTACAGCTTTTTAAGAGAATTAAGACCCAGGCCTGAGGGTAGAGAACTTCCCAACGAATTAGAACTCAGGTTCCTGCAATTGAAAAGAATGTTTCCAAATGGTTAAAGCCGTCCAGAAGTGCACAAAATTAACATCCAGAGAAGCAAAGGAGCATGCAATTGAATAAAATTGACATAGAAAACAAAGAAATATAGCTGCAAATCAAGGAAATCAATAAAAAAAGATATTTATTAAAAAAATACAAATGAATAAAAACAATATTACATGGACGTTCAAATAAGATATGGAACTATAGAAAGAAAAGAAACAACTACTAAGATGAGCATGCAAAACCAAACAGAGCTTTCAGTTGAGTCAATGTTGAAATCTCAACAGTAACTCAGATTTGTTTTCACTCAGTATAAAGATAATTGTCATTTTTTTCAAATTTGTGATTCTTTTTTGACAGTTAAATAACTGGAACAAATTGTCTAACTGAGGGATCACAGATCACCAGTTTCAAACATGGTTAAATTAGTGCGACTTGGAATCCAATTTCAGTAATGAGAATTCACATTCACAAGCATATCCTTCTATGTGCCACTGAGAATAAGAAAGCACAGAGAGATGAAACACCATGGATAAGGTTTTCTTTGTTTCTTTTTCTTCTTTTCCCCACTATGGAGGAATTCAAGGAATGGTTGCATTCCTTTACAACACTTCAACATTACTGTAGTTTGCAGATAATTTTACTGAAATTGAAACTTTTTTTAAGTTACTTTTGACCAATCACGGAAGTAAGGAGTGGAGTAAATTATCTGCATGGCCCAACTGTGGATAATATGTTTTGCTCATGTTGGTGAAGTAAATTAATAAGTTATACTAGTTCTCCATCAGCTTAAGCCTTTTCAATAATAGACTGCTAAAATGTGACATACTAGATACTATTCATGGAATGTGTGTTAAGCAACCACAAAGGCACAAACTAGCTCCTAAGCAAAAGAAGCCAATACTTGCTGCTAGGCAATTTTGCCACTGCATTTTAACGAATGACGTAAGAGCAATAGGTTGGCAAAGTTGTTCAACAAAATTATAGAACAAAAAATATTAAATTAACACTAAAAAAACATATACAGGGGACGAGCATTTAATACTTAAGAAGCATGAACACTTGTTGTGTTCGTATCGAACACATGTGACACGCATCACCAGTTTGAAGAAAATAATTTGTGGACCAAAGATTGAAAGTAAAATATTGATAATTCATACATATTAATTTTTCTTCCTTCAGGCTTTTTAATCTAGGAACCTAATGTTAGAATAGTTATTTTTGTTATTTTTGTTCTCTTACTAATATTTACTTAAGTTGAGGATACGATGGTCATATTGCTATTTTAGGGATTTTATATATATTTGACTGATGTAAAATTGAGGTAGAACAATTATTTCAATATATACAAAAGTTCTCTCTCTTCTTCTTCTTCCTCCTAACTTTCAACCCTAATTTCTTCATTTTACATTCTAACTTGGTATCAGAGCAATCTCTTCTTCATCAGAAAGGTTTCTACAAATTCTAGAGATCGATCTGAGGTGACCGAGACGTGCTGATGTCATCAGCCGTACGATGACGTCAGCATGACGTAAGCACTGTACGGACGGTCCTTCACCCCTAGACTCGAAATTGCCTCCTGAGATTTATGGTGATTTTTGTGAAATTTTTTTATCATTCCTGATGTGAGTTTTCGATTTTTTAAAGTATTTCGTGTTTTTGGGATTGTTTTTTTAAATCTGCCTTTGGGACTATTTTTTTCTAGTTTTTCTTGCTGGGCTCACTTCCCTAGGAGCCAAAAATCACCACTCTAAGGGTCCTTGATCTTAATTTGTAGTTTTACTACTGTTGGGTTGATATTTTGTTCGATTATTGCCTGTTTTTGGTCCAGTAACCCTATTTTCTTCGGTTCTACCTATTGAAGGCTCCTATATAAGGGCTGAAATCCTTCTAGCAAAGGATATTTGTCCTCTCTTTATTGATTGCTACTGTTGAGTTGATGTGTTGGTCTAATTTGGGTCCAAAATTGGTTGGCAGACCTGTATTCTCCTCTCTTTTGCCTGTTTTTTTGTGGATTTTTGGTTTTTGAGCTAGTTCTGTGTCTATATTGGTGATTATTGGTGTGGGTATTAGCTGTTTGAAAGTATTTTGCCCTTTCATGCTCGTGTTGAGAATTTTGTGTGGTTGATCATTATGGTTGAGATTGAGGCTAAGGCTATAACTATGGGTAAGGATGATGACATGCATAAATCTATCACTACAAAGAAATTGAATGGTGCTAATTATTTGGCTTGGGCCCACGTTGTCAAAATTTTCTTACGAGGTAAGAAGAAGTCCCGCTTTATTAGTGAGCTCCCTCCTCCTACTGATGATAAAGATTGTGATGATTGGTGTCGTGAGGATTCTTGTGTTATGGGTTGGATTTGGTATAGTCTGGAACCACAGGTTGCTACTACCGTGGAATTTTGTGATACCTCTAAGGCCATTTGGGACTCCCTTGCTGAGTCATTTTCAAATCAAAGTAATGTCCCTCAGGTCTACGAGTTATATGAACAGATTTTTGCTATGCGTCAATCTGGCCGGTCTCTCCCTGATTATTATAGTAGTCTCAAGACTTTGTGGGATCAGTTACTGCAGCATCGACCTTTCACTACTGATGTGAACAAGCAGAAACAAACATTGGGAGGAGTTTATGATGGCTTATTTACTTTCTGGCTTAGATCCGGAGTTGCGAGGGTTCAAAGATCAGATTCTTGCCAGTGACACTCTACCTTAAGCTGCCAATGCCTATTCTAGGCTGTTACGCTCTTCATTAGGACAAGCACAATCCACTTCTAGGTCCTCTTCTTTATCATCTTCTGCATTGGTTTCCAGTAGTAGTGATCATAGGTTTACTCGCGGGGGTTTTCATAGTTCTTCTGGTTCCCGGAGCTCTTCTTCTGGTTCACGGGGCTCTCGTGGAGGTGGTTCTCGTAGTGGCAGCTCACATTGTGGTTTCCGTGGTAGAGGTAGTAGTGGACCTGGTTCTCGCACACGTGGAGATCGTAAGTGTACTCATTGTGGTTCCCAAGGTCATACTGAACCTTGGTGTTGGCAGAAGTATGGCAAACCTGATCATGTCCATCAGGTTATGGATGTCCCATCCTCACAGTCTTCCTTGTTGTCCATTGGCTCGGATGCTTCTCCTGTTACTTCGCGTGAGACACTCACTACTCAAATTAGTGAGCTTACTGCCCTTGTTCAGTCTCTCCAGCCTAGTCTACCTCCATCCTCTACTGCTACCATGGCTAGTTCAGGTAATATTGCATGTGTGGCTAAGTCCTCTCAGCCTTGGCTCCTAGACATTGGTGCTAGTTCTCATGTCTCTGGTAATTGTTGGCATATTATAATCACCGAAAGTCACTTAGCATATTATATTAGCCGAAAGAGTCTGTAATCATTTTTTATGCACTCAGGGATCATCTTGTAATTGTCTACCTTGTAAACCCTAATCTTTATTTATAAATAAGGGATGATATCTCATCATACCCTAAGCTGGTTACTCAAGCTTCATGGTATCAGAGCTGAACCTATAGGGTTTCGGTTCACCCTCGTTGGTAGACCTTCTTCACCAACAACACTCTAGGGTTCGAAGCTTACCTGGGTGGATCGTCTTCCTCAGCCGTCTTCCTCAGCCGATCTCCGCAACTCAGTCGATCTCCTCAGCCGTCTTCCTCAGTCGACCTCCTCGCCTTCCTCTGTCGATCATCACTCAGCCGTCAGCTCCTCAGCTCGGCGATCTCCTCCACCCATTTCGTCCCTCGTCTTCCTCGTCACTCGTCTTCCTCAGACTCTGATCTCACTGTGGTATATATAAATATATATATATATGGGGACATATGTGAATCGTAAAGATTCAATCACTTCTTCTAAATTACTTAGAAAAATATATTTTTATATATATTTGACTGATGTAAAATTGAGGTAGAACAATTATTTCAATATATACAAAAGTTCTCTCTCTTCTTCTTCTTCCTCCTAACTTTCAACCCTAATTTCTTTCTTTTACATTCTAACTTGGTATCAGAGCAATCTCTTCTTCATCAGAAAGGTTTCTACAAATTCTAGAGATCGATCTGAGGTGACCGAGACGTGCTGATGTCATCAGCCGTACGATGACGTCAGCATGACGTAAGCACTGTACGGACGGTCCTTCACCCCTAGACTCGAAATTGCCTCCTGAGATTTATGGTGATTTTTGTAGAATTTTTTGATCATCCCTGATGTGAGTTTTCGATTTTTTAAAGTATTTCGTGTTTTTGGGACCGTTTTTTTGAATCTGCCTGTGGGACTATTTCTTTCTAGTTTTTCTTGCTGGGCTCACTTCCGTAGGAGCCGAAAATCACGACTCTAAGGGTCCTTGATCTTAATTTGTAGTTTTACTACTGTTGGGTTGATATTTTGTTCGATTATTGCCTGTTTCTGGTCCAGTAACCCTATTTTCTTCAGTTCTACCTATTGAAGGTTCCTATATAAGGGCTGAAATCCTTCTAGCAAAGGATATTTGTCCTCTCTTTATTGATTACTACTGTTGAGTTGATGTGTTGGTCTAATTTGGGTCCAAAATTGGTTGGCAGACCTGTATTCTCCTCTCTTTTGCCTGTTTTTTTGTGGATTTTTGGTTTTTGAGCTAGTTCTGTGTCTATATTGGTGATTATTGGTGTGGGTATTGGCTGTTTGAAAGTATTTTGCCCTTTCGTGCTCGTGTTGAGAATTTTGTGTGGTTGATCATTATGGTTGAGATTGAGGCTAAGACTATAACTATGGGTAAGGATGATGACATGCATAAATCTATCACTACAAAAAAATTGAATGGTGCTAATTATTTGGCTTGTGCCCACGTTGCCAAAATTTTCTTACGAGGTAAGAAGAAATCCCGCTTTATTAGTGAACTCCCTCCTCCTACTGATGATAAAGATTATGATGATTGGTCTTGTGAGGATTCTTGTGTTATGGGTTGGATTTGGCATAGTCTGGAACCACAGGTTGCTACTACCGTGGAATT